GCAAATCCAATTTATCATATATAGTAAAACTGATGTTTTTTCATACTAATTGTTAGACCATTATTTACACACTGAATTGTCGGGGGATTTTTTATGGCGAAGAATCCTCCTTCATATGCGAATTAATTGCAACTTTTTTTTCTGCATTCATGTCTTAATATTACATCAACAATCACGGTAAAAGCATGTTAACATGAAAGATACATCACATTTGGTTTAGAGGGTAAAGAAGTGGGTTTTATATACCGGTGTCTCAAAATATCGCGGTACTTAAAACTTTTGCATAAAAAGTGTAATTCAAATTGATTAATTTAACTTTCATCAAGTGATATTCATAAACCAAACTATGGCCTTACTTTTTAGCATCAAATTATTTCCAAAACTTGCATTGTTTATTTTGTAGTCTATTTTTAAAACAGGAAGTCTTTTTTACCTCCTAAATTGCAGAGTCTCATAGTATCGCGGTATGGGAATACATGGACACTTGTGGTTGACATGAACGTAAATCTTATTTTTAAATGTACGATGTAATTCTACATAAAAAAAATAAACAATTACACAAACTAAGACGTTCAAAATATGAACTTTATGATGGATTTTTCTAGGTTATAAATTTAGTGGCGTAAAATTAAATAACAACGGGGATGGAAATCTGTAAAATTACGTTTTATTTAAATAAAGAATTTCCCGACGCATATTCCATACCTTTAATTATCACAAAAATTTACATTCAGACGACAGACAGTTTTTCCAACGAAAAGGATATGAGTTATGTACATGTATCTGATGTTTTGGAATATACCGCGATACCACTGAACCCGCGATATAATGAGAATCGACATGAAAATGCTTTCTGAATGTACATGATGCTGGAAGTTACTGCATAAGAGACTATTTTAAGCTACATTATCAAATATTAATAAAATCACATTTGAGACAAATATACTGTTGCTTCAGATTAATTAATTAAGGTATTTCCATTCTCCTAGTCGCCCGCCTGGCGCAGTCGTTGGAGCGTCTGCTCTAGAATCGCTAAGTAAGGAGTTGTTCCTAACGTTACGGGTTAGAATCCTACTGTTGGACGTGGAGACCGGCCCTTCGGATGAGACCGTATTAACCGAGGTCCCGTGTCGCAGTACACTGTAGGTGCTGGCACGAAAAAGATACCTCCTTGCTCAATGGACCTGAGTGTCGAGTAAAGGACAAAATTAGCAGCTCTCCATCGGCAAGAGGTGGCGTCTCCATATGAGTGAAAAATTATCGAGAGGGACGTTAAACAATATACAATCAATCCATCCATATACATCCTCCTATGATGTCAAAGGTTTTGCAAAAACTATTTTCAGTTTAAATTCATACCCAATAGAACAAAATCATATGAGTGCTTTAAATAATATTTGTAATGATAAACATTGTTAAGTAAAATAATAAAAAAAAATCTTTATTTATTACTCAATTTTCAAAAAGAAAGGTTAACAAGGGCATTTAAGTATGTCGGAACTTTCAGCATCAAAATTATGCATTTGAACAAGTTTCTATATAATTTTTACAATAGTTTACAAAAAAGGTACGTTTTTTTTATTAGGTTGACATTTACTTCTGTTTATTTATGTTTATTTTATGTCTCCCACCGATAATCGTATGGCAACCTATACCTTTTTGCAATAATTTTTACATTTAAACTATATTACATAATAATAAATGCAGTTCAGGTACAATGAGCCATTAAAATTGTGAGAATTGAAAGACCGAAAGGGGTAGAATAACATAGTCATTTTTGCAAAACAGAATAATCACACTTTAAAGAACGAGGGCGCTTTTGATTGGCATTCAGCAGGAATGTGGACGTAATTGAAAAGTGAAAATTTTATCGATATGTCACATGAAATTTTTACATTTTTTTTTATTCATCTGGTTCCTGTGCAACAGGAAAGGAAAATATTTTCCCGAAATTTTGCTTTGATTTGTATTAAAAAAAATAACTTGAAAATTGACCAGATCAGACATTTGGTACAAAATGGTACATTTTTAAACAAGTTTTTCTAAAATTTTTCTATCTCTGGGTCTTCTCTCCATGATTTTTAAACATTATTTGTATTTTAATTCACAAAAAGGAATACACATTTTTAAAACATGGAGAGAAGATCCAGAGACCACGAAAAATGAACTTTTCCCGAAAAAGTCCAAATGTGTGAATGTGGTGCTTCTTTGTCCTTTTAAAATCATCTGTATGTGCGTAGCGGTGATAGCTCAGTAAGTTGGGCTACCTGTTCAGTGCACTCGAAGCTAAAGGTTTTTGGTTCGAGCCTAGCATGGGGCGTTAATTATGTTTTGATGCAACAACCATTTATTTTGTCAGTTTTTTTATGAACTGATGTATTAAAATTTTGAACTAGATAAATTTTGGTTCAGTTTGGTTCTCGAGCGAATTCAATTCCAATCTTCTATTCTATAATGCACATGTACACGTATCATGCATCTATGCATTAAATATTTAGGTGTTTACTTTTTGTGAAACATTACTTTGTTATAGTACCCCTACGAAAAACGGACATAAATGTTACAATCTCACAAAATCTTTCAAACTAAATGAAAAAAAAAACCTATGGACGTGTTTGTAAAATCTGACCAGCTATGTTCAGCCAACCAAATCATGGACATTTAAACCATAAATGTTTCGTACAAATCATTCCTGCAGATCACACGCCAAATGCACCCATCTTCTTTAGCAAAGTATCAAAACTTGTGTAGTAAATAAAATCTTATTCGATAAGATATCTTACTTTTAAGTAGCTAACAAATTATGTACTTAAACTGTTCAGAAATGAATTTAATAGATTAATATCTAATATATACTGTATAACCTGAAATGAGGCAGAGGACGATATATAATCGATAAAGCTGTTTACAAAAAAGTGCAAACTGTTCCAACCCTGGTAAAAACAAGATGTGTTTGTGAAACACTGATGCCCCCGTATGGCAACATAGCGAAGATTAAACTTTTCTTAAATGAAAATTTAATATATTGGAACCAAAAGTAGGATATTCTCACTGGAAATAAAAATTGTGAAATATGAAAGTAGGCCAAGGTTTAAGTTTTTTCATAAGTACAGAAATATCCAAGGTCAAAAAAGTCAAGGTAATTGGTATCCAATGAAAGTTTTTGCCACAATAAATACATATGTGAAGTATGGAAGCCTTATCCCTAACCTTCAAAAGTTATGGCCAAGGTTAAGTTTAAAAAAGTAGGTCAAACTCCGAGGTCAAAGGGTCAAAATTCTTGATATCAAATGAAAGGTCTTGTCACAAGGATTAAAGTTCTTCATGAGAGAGGACTATCTAAGTTTTTGTTTTTGGAAGAACTTGTGTCCAATCCCTTTGACATGTTGTCAATAAAATATGTTCAAAACAAGGATTAAATATGTTAAGTATGAAAGTGCTAGCCCTATCCCTTTAAAAGTTAAGGTCAATGTTTGCTTTTTAAACGTAGGTCAGACAACAAGGTCAAAGGATTACATATGTGAAGTATGAAAGCTCTAGCTCTCACTCTTCAAAAGTTATGGCTAAGGTTAAACATTTTTATAAGTACGGAAATCTCCAAGGTCAAAGTTTTTGGTATTCAGTGTAAGGTCTTTCCACAAAGAATACATATATGAGGTATAAAAGTCCTGGTATCTACTGTTTAAAAGATATAACCAAAGTAAAAGTTTGGAATTTTGTTTAAAAGTGGGTCAAACTCCAAGGTCAAGGTAAAAAGGTCAAATATGGTGGTATCCAAAGAAAGGTCTTGTCACAAGAAATACACATGTAAAATATGAAAGCCATAGCTCCACTAAATCAAAAGTTATGGGCAAGGTTAAAAGGTTAAAGTTTTTGCGGACAAACAGACAGAGAAAGACGGACGAACACGACAAAAACTATTTACCCCCGAAACGTCGTTTATAGGGGCATAAAAGGTATACATAGAGTAGCTTTTAAATTTATCCGTTAGCGATTGAAATAGTAAGATACATATTTAATTAAACCTGTTAAATGAGTTGATGGGCGTGATAATTTTTTTCAAAACCAATTATATTTTTTCTTGAAAAGTTAAGTATTTAAAACGATTTTGACGCATAAAGCCATAGTTATGTAGGAATATGTTTACTATATAATCAATAGGGCCCCGCCCTAACACATGACGTAACGGAGCTTACGGAGACAGCCGAGCGTCTGGTTACATTAATATCCCCAGCTTCCACACACAACATAAGAAGGCGGAGTGGTTGTAGTTGACTGTGGAAATGTGGACTTTTCATTCACTGTTTTAGGCATTCACTGTATGCTCATCAGATGATAGCTTATAAAGCACATGGAAATTAAAATTCATCCTTTTACTACAGTATGAGATTGCAGTGAAAGGACAATATTTGCAGCATTTATTTAAATTTTTCGCGTCAAAATTATAAAGAATGTAAGAATAATGTTTATGAATAATATGGTTATAACGATGCATAAACAATTAAGTATAATCTCTGTATTATTTATGTCGATCCTGGCCACAACAGCCAACTACTAAAATAAAGTAGAAGAAATAAACACTTATTTTTATCGTCCACTGACCTCCCAGTCCACTGAATGGTCACATAGAGACCCGGAAGTTTATAAAGGTAACTCTGCCATACAACCATTTCAGTAAACGCTCAGTAACATTTCAGTTATTCAACGGAATGGCAAACTTTTCCCCATGTTGTTTCTCATAATAAACACTCCGAAGTCCTACTTTTTTGTTATTTGATCCCTTTATTACATAATATTGGCTTCTCATTTGATTAATTATGATGGTTGTTTTGTTTTACAATCAAATTAATTACCCTAAATGTGAAAGATATATTCAGTGCATTGTGCAAATTGCTTGAAGATTAAATAATAAAAAAATGTTCATTGAATATAAATAAAGTTGTCTTTAAAAAATAGACAATTTTCTTTTGTCATAAATAACCTTCATCTGATAAAAATTTGACATTCATTTTATAGGTGGATGTTAATTTCTGTCTTAAATTAATTACCATATCAGTACACTGAATTAATATTAAGACCGGAGAACCTTCTTTAGATTTTTACACAAAGCCGATCGAGCTTGGAGTTTGTGTCAGTTTTAACATTTATCAGCAGGTGTACTTTTGAGAGTTGCACCTGACTATATTATACTCATTACGATGGAGAGAATTTCTGCTTATTTTTTCTTAGTGTTCTATTTAATCATCTATCAAGCTTATGCCCTGTTCATGCCACTGGAAGGTAAGAAAATTGTTTGCAATTGTCTATTATTGTCTTAAAAGCTCGACATTTTCTATTACGGGAAGATTTATGACATCGAAACTTGGAATTCATTTATGTTGTCTCCGTGATCCTAAATGCTGAAATCTTTCAAAGATTTAACAATTTTTAAAGATTTAACAATGAATTTATCAAGTTTCTAACCATAATATGTTAAAATCATTTGGAAAAATAAATAGAAATCTATTCCAATGACAGGGCGTCCTCAAGGTAAGATCCTGTGTGTGCATGTGTATAATTCTTATAAAAACCACAATAAAATATATCAGGAAATCTCATTTATTTACAAGTATAAAAATAGCATTACTTACGATGTGATATTCATGTACGTTTGACAAAGTTTGCTTGATTGTTTATTGTTTTACGTCCCTCTCAATAATTTTCACTTATAAGGAGACGCCAACACTCGCAGGTGGAGAGCTGTGTTTTTTGTCTTATGCTCGGCACTCAGGCCCATTGAGCAGGGAGGGTTTTTTTCGTGCCAGCACCTACTGCGACACGGGACGTTGGTTTATGTGGTCTCGTCCGAAGGATCGGTCTCCACGTCCCAAGATGGGATTCGAACCCGCGACGTAATGATCAACTCCTTACTTCGCGACTCTAACGCAAAAGCTTGGTTGTTTGATTACCATGATCGTCTTATTCTTGTAAACATCCAAATATGAAACAGATGTGTAAGACTCTGTGGTATCTTATAGCTGAAGCTGAAGTCATTTCAATTGTCATAGAATTTAGTTGTTAGTTGGCCCAAGTAACAGACTCAAAAGTACCTTTTATTTCAAGTTCACTGGGATATGTGGAGTCGACATATGAATGGACTTTTGTTACATGTCAAGGTCAGTCGAACTGAGGACCACATCAGGTGTTTTCCTCTTTTCACGTTAAAGATTTTTCATAAATTTTTCAGCCACAGGAATATAAAATAGGTCGTCTCAGAGAGGAGCACAGGGCTATCGAAATACGAACTGTTTGCTGGAAAACTTGGTCTCCGAAAACGTTAACTTAATTAAGAGTGTTCAAAAGATCAGGCATAAACTAATAATGGTGATCGGAGATGTTATAATATGCATGCTTTGTTTAAAATATCGGTCAAATAATAAGACATATGTATGTTAGTTATTTTTAACGATCCTTTAATCAAGTTTTACTACGCATCGACGGTAAACCTCACGCCAAATTCTTCATTAATAGTTATACATCTATGTCAAGACATTTGGTGTATATGGATAGCTGAATACAATATGATAATCATATGACACCAAAAAAAATGCAAAGACCAGTATGTTCCAACCAAAACCATTGTTTTAGGAAAATACTGGATACAATATACATTTGTATTTATTTGCAAATATGCAATTGACACTAAAACAGATATTTAAAACCACATTTAATATGCATTTATTTTGTATATAAAGGACATTAAAAAAGACAAATGTCGCAGACATTAATGTGATTATTTTCAGAAAACGTTGCAAATAATTATATGAATTAACAAAACAATACCTGTTTATATATATATTTATTTTTAAATTCTAATTTGTATTTTACAAGAGTAATTGTTCATATTGTAAGCATCATTTTTTACAGGAAAATGGATGATTGAAAATTCAAACTTGGGTAGGTACTTAACAGCAAATTCATGTAAATGAATAAACATTAAAGGATCACTTCTAAATTTGCATAGGAGAAAAAAGCTTGTCAATTGAAAATGACAAGTTACATATTTTGTTTTTCCTAATTATGTCAGGTGAAATTTCTTGATTTTCACAAATGTAATAATTGATATTTGTCTTTACTTCTTATTATGCATAAAGTTAATGTCATAAACTATTCCTTATGTCTAAGCTATTTATCCGTGGAGATATTAAAACATGTCATTAATGTGTGCAAATTATATAGGCCTTAATGAAATCCAAGGGAGTGCATTTACTGAAATATGAAGCCAAAATCAATGTGATTCAACTCTAAGGAGTATATACAATTGAAACTCATCGCAGCTCAATGTTGCCAAGAGAATCTCTATTGAGTAACACATGGTGAGTTATTCTTGTCCTCGGAGAAAGTGTGCTTATACTGAGGTTCGTTCCGCCTAACTGACAACTGTACATTGGATTTGTACGATTCGATATCTCTTTAGTGTTTCTTATATCAAGAATGAGCATGCATAAGGGATTAGATAATTGAAGGAAAAATACACAAGTCTATAGAAGAAAATTAAAATAGTCTCTGAAAAAGTTTAAAACTTTAAAAGTATTAAATTTTATTTCAAAAGAAAGGTAAGGTGAGAGGAGTATATCAACTGAGCTAGTCTGATTATAAGAATAAATGGCATAAATTTAAAGCAGAGTATGAAAATCAGGTTTCCTTAATTTTTGTAGGTTTTTTGTGAATTTCGACCCCAGGGCAGGGGTGCCCCTAAAAAACTCTTATCTTAAATTATTCATTACATCCTAACCTATATATAATTTTATTTAGGGGCCCTCCCGCTTTTCAAAAAATCGGGACAAAATGGTGTTTAAACTTTGGATTTATTGTATGTAAATAATAAATTTTAGTATTTTTGAAAAATACATATATACGGTAATTACAACAAATAAAGTAATTACTTTTTCCGTAAATAGCGTTTCCTTAGGTCAATTCTTTTTTGCAAAAATAATATGAGAAAAATCCGGTATGAACTGAAAATCAAGTTCATAATTAATTATAGGTGAAATCTTATCACAATCTTCATAAATGGAAAAGCGGGAGGGTATATAGTTATCGAGATGTACGTCTGTCCGTCCGTCTGTTTGGGGTACTAATCTCTTATCCGCAACTCCTCTCATACCACTCGATGAAATTTGATGAGACTTTCACAGAATCTTTACTACATATTGCCATTGTGCACCTCCTATTTTACTTTTTGATCCGACACATGTTTTAGATTTCCCATTGCAAAACATGGACACTGCCATTATATTCATATTGGAGACGGGGGTATCATTTAGTGAGCTCATTGCTTACAGTACCTCTAGTTTAATTAGCTTACACGCATTGGAGACATACTGTACGTTTCAGTACTCGTACATCTAAAGCAAATATAGCAAGTTGATAGTAAGGAAAAATATATTCTATGTTTCAGCTTTGATTTCACATGTAAGGGAATCGAATTACAATGAATTTTCTAAGTACATCATCGCAAATCAACCAAATCCAAAATCTGATGAAAAATTACATTAAATCCTGTAAATCTACGTAATGACAATAGATTGTTTCGTTTCACTCGATTCTGAGACTTTGATTTACTTTGATAATAGACAAAAGCCCTCTATTACTTTGTAAATTTTGCAATTTCTGTCACGTATGTTTTAAGATGACAGTCTGTTGCAGAGTCTTAAGTAAAATAGGGCGTGTTCTTTTATCAGTCAGACAAATACTAAATTTATCAATAACCACGGTGATATTTGCACAATATTATGCAATATCATAATGTCAATCAATATTTCATTCTTTGTAAAGCAAGTACAGCGGATTCTTTGTAAAGCAAGTACAGCGGAGTCTTCACTCAGTTTCGAAAAGAGATTGTTTAAAACCTAGCGTGGGCTACAGTTGGATATAAAAAGATTTCAGTTTTTTACACAATGGTTGATAGAAAACCTTAGAAAAATAATAAATATTTTTTTTCTTAAGATTGGCCATTCATTTCAATGTTGGAATAACATTGTGCTATGAACTACTCCTAGTTACAGACAATTATAAGTATCATGCAAGTACAAATAAAAACGTGCAGGTCGGTCATATTCTGTCTTACTTTTTTTTTTACAAATAACATTTTGTCTTTTAATTACCCTCAACAGTTTAAAGATAAATGTTCACCTTTAATTGTGTAATTAAGGCTTTTCTGTGATGCCATAACTGCATGTCCTGTGTGGTAAGTCATAGGTGACAATAAAATATTTTGTAATATCGCATCAATCCATACTTTTGTGTATTATAGCGTAAATCCAAGTTTTTATCATTTGGTACACGAAAACTAAGAAAGATATTGAATTAAGTCATGCTATAATTGAGATATCTGTTAACTAAAGTTTTATTATACGAGTATGCATGACTTTATGTTTCGAAGAAAAGAAAACAGTGTCTGTGACAAAGCATAAAAAGTACATATGCTTCTCACATTCCATGTCTTTAAGGTAGGATTTTTTTCTGGTTTCTGACTAGATGAAATACTCAATGTACATTTGCTTATATGTCTTATGTATTTAGGTGCAAGAGATTTCAAAGACCATACTTTTCTTTCCTCATTACAATTGTACAACTTTAAATAGAAATGGTAAACCGTGTTTGAAAACTACTTACTAGCAGGGACTATATATCTGGCGGAATGGTGGTGTATGAAAATATATTATTTTCGGCATCTCAAAATTATCATAGAACAATGGATTTAGTTAATAGTTTTCACAATCAAAGACTTGAACTTTCTACATGTAAATTTGATTAATAATAAGGGAGTAAAAATCCTAAATATATTAAATAAATAAGATTTTTCAAACAAACTAGAACTATGTTACAATGTAGCTTTTTTAAGCTTCCAATATGAGATCAGAATGAGCCAAGAATCCGTAAAATGTATTTTTTTTCTCTCTAGTAAACGATCAAAAAATTTTGTTTTTGTATCATTTTGTATCTTAATGTGACAAATTTACCATATGAAAATGTGAAGAATTTAAATATAGGAAGCATATAAAATGAACTAATATATCGTAACAATTTAAGAAAAGTAGAGAAAATTCGGATAAGCCAAATACAAATTGAAATACAAGTAGGGGTCGCATGATTGGCAACAGTTAACTTTTTGTTATTAATGTCCAGGAAAAGGGTAATGGCCTTCACCTGACCTTGTCTCTAATATAAAACAGTCAAATTTAATTTCACTGATACCATCAATTTGTGCTATTGTCTTCTTGATTCTGTGAAAGTTTCATTAATTTTTAAATACAAGAAATATGAGAAGAATCCTACCTTAATTGAATTTCACGTACACGTTCAAGATTCACACACACTAGTAATTACCTGTGCTTGTACATTTTGCCCTGTCCGAAAATTGCTTTATGGTTTTTAATTATGCTTACTACTAAAATAAATAATGTAATTTTTCTTGCATCGAAAGTTCATAACCAGAAGTCAAATTAACCCTCTAAAAGACAATAGTGCCAACTTCAATATTTTATCGAAACTTATTGCAGAAATGTAATAATTATGCATACCAAAAAATATGCATGTCTCAAAGACAACTTTTTTTATTATTATATTTTGAATTCTAAAGGTACAACTGGGGAATTTACGCAGTCGTTTCAGACAGGTAAACCTCATTCCCTTTGTACGTAATAGAAAAATTAATGCAAGATTTTATCCTATGGTTTAATCTTTACTGCTTGAATTAATTAATGTCGCAGGTAGTAAAATGAACTATTATTATTGTTAACCTAAGTGCATTCTTGATTTAAAACAAACTTTTGCAATTTGCAAGAAAAGACAAATCATTTTCTTTACTGATCAGTAACAATGAAAGAATGATTAAGTTGCAATATACAATACTATATAGTAATACACTTTATGATGTCTTCTCCCTTAGAATCAATGGGACCTAGAATGCTTGGGAAGATTTTTTCTGGTAATTATTCTTATTAAAGTTATATGTTATATTTGGATTTACAAAGCTAGTAATGGCTGTTTAAATAAATGTTCAAAATGCATGAAATAAAGCTTTTCAAATTACATGTTTCAATGTAATTTAGTATTTTCAACCTAAGCTTGGTGCCAGTGCTCTACTGTGAAATAGTTGTTTTCATGCAATATATGAATGTAACGTTTTTTTTGTTTTTTTTAATCTTTTAATATTTGCAGTTCACAAAGATCCGTCGGGTCAAATCCACACTGAATCCAGAGTAGGTATGTTATTTAACTGTATTCCATATTTTGTATATCATGTTGCTTTTTAATTAATTCAAGATTTTCTATGTGTCATAACATTATTATACCTCCTCTTGAAATGTGTTCGGGTATTTTGTGATAGGCTTAGGCGTCCATAGAATGTAAGTCCTTCCTTTCGATACATCTGTAAACATACTGGGATAATCTATAATCCACAACTCCTTCTGCATACATGAATCGTTCACAAAAGTTTTATTGCATGGTGGCATTGTGTGTCACCTATAATAGGTTTCTTCGTACACATGATTGAAGTTTCCCATCGCAGACCTTGGACTTCAAATCGGGGATATATAACTCCTATCATACCCCGATTAAGATTTAATGAAACTTCAACAGGTGAAATATATTTTAAAACCATCATTCACCTCCTATTTCTTTTTCTCATAGCAAACCTGGACTCTGTAATTATACTGAGATGGGAGCGGAAATATTACTTTGCTAGTTAAGTGCTCACAGAATCCCTAGTTTAACATTTACTATCCTTTGTTTACTCCACTAATTCTACTTCATTGCACATTTTTGTTTGTCGAGGTTTGAAGCAAAAAAGAGTCAAAATTTTGTTAAAACCACAAAGATATATCGGAGAGCCGGATTCATTCATCACGCGATACTAGTCCCTATTCAGAAATAATTTTACCCACTTTGATAATTAGAAAATATAATTATTAGTACTCAAAACTGCATTGCAACAAACTTGATCTATAGAAAGAAATGAAAAAAAAATATTCATACATTTATATAATTTTCGTTTCAGTTGAAGTCTCACACAATGGGATGTCTGTTGATCAGGGATTTTTAGGTAAAATTACTTTTGAGAAAAAGATATTATTGCTTTAAAAAAGCATATTAATGTACATGTATGATTTTAATATTCTATCATAAAAATTTTTCAAAATGCTACTCCTCACAGTTTTCGTCTAATTTCAATATAACTTGGCACACAAAAGTATTTAAATATTTTTTGATTTAAAAACTGTTTCCGTGGTTACAAAAATAGAAATTTCTGTGAAATTCTTTCAAAATCAACAGTTTTATAAAATTGGCACACAAGTTTATTGTTTTTTTGATTTCAAGAACGGTGTTGCCGTGGTTAAAAAATAGGTGAAATTCAAAATGCTTACAGTTTTGCCTTTTCAGTATAATTTGGCACACAAGTAGAATACACTAGGATACATAAATCTGTATATCGGTTTTTGATTTAGATGAACGGTGTTGCTGGAGTTGTAAAAATAGAAATATCTGTAAAATTGTTTCAAAATGCTTTCCTACAGTTTTGAATTTCAATATAACTTGGCACACAAGTATATATATATCAAATTTTAATTTTGATGAACTGTGTTGCCGTGGTTACTAAAAATAGAAATTTCTGTGAAATTCTTTCAAAATGCTACTTATCCTACAGTTTTGGTCTGATTTCAGTATAACTTGGCACACAAGTAGACTACACTAAGAACATAAAGAGACTTTATCAACGATCATTATTCTATATATTGCTGTTGTAAAGTTTCAAATCCCAGCTGCTTAAGTACTCTTCTCTTCCTTTGCTATAAGTTCAAACATGAAGTTCTGGTTTTACATGGTGTCAAATCAGTTGACAAAGAAAAAATTCATATATTTTCGTTTTAAAATTTGATCATTTTGTATATCTTTATATGGAGCTCTTCTTTTAAAGGAGATCAAAATAGTCTGAAAATGGCTGCCACACCCCAGCCTCGTTAAAAAAGCATATTAATGTACATGTATGATTTTAATATTCTATCATAAAAATGGCATTCAATTCGACAAAATAACCAAAAAAGTATTTAAATATTTATTTAAAAACTTTTCCAATTAAAATCAAAATAAAATTAAATTTATTGTTTGAAAGAACAAGGTTCACCTAGTGCCTTTTTTTTTTGGCCTTAGCCCTAGGAATACTAGTATCAGAACTGCTCAGTTGTAGTGGAAATATGTTACTTTTCAGTTGAACCCTAGGGACTATGTATATATTTCAATTACAAACAAGATGTGTTTGTGAAACACTGTGCGCATGGCGGCAACATTGACCGTGGTGTCATTTGAAAGAGCTTAATTAGTGGAGTATGCATACCAAACATGAAGTCTCTATCTTTCATGGTTCAAAAGTTAAGGCGAAGGTTAAAGTTTGCAGATAAAAAGCTATTTTTAGCATATAGGTTACATTCAAGGTCACATAGCCATTGACCTTTTAAAGTACTTGATTGGTAAAGTATGGATGCCAAATATGAAGTCTCTATCTCTTGTGGTTCAAAAGTTATGGCAAAGGTACAGAAAAACTATTTTTAGCATACAGGTCACAGTCAAGGTCACAAGGTCATTGACCTTGGTGTCATTTGAAAGAGATTAACTAGTGGAGTATGCATACTAAATATGAAGTCTCTATCTTTCATGGTTCAAAATTTATGGCGAAGGTTAAAGTTTGCAGACAAACAGACAGGACAAAAACAATAGTTCATGTATTATGACGTCATAAATTGACTTACATCATAATGATGTTTGATGTGGGACATTAATTTGGGACATGGGTAATTAATTGGTATTTAGACAGGGTCACTTGATGCAGTTTATGAACCTACCTCTTTGACCAAGACATCATTTTTTAGCTCTACTGGTCAGAGACCAGAAGAGCTTATGCGATGTTAATGCGTCTGTCCGTCCGTCTATCTGTCCGTCTGTCTGTAAACAATTTTCAAAATGCTACTCCTCCTACAGTTTTGATCTGATTTCGATATTACTTGGCATACAAGTAGACTACACTAAGATACATAAATTAGTGCATCGGTTTATGATTTCGATTACTAAAAATGGTCACAAAAAAATAGAAACTTCTGCGAAATTCCTTTTAATCGCTACTCCTCCTATAGTTTTGGTCTGATTTTAATATAACTTGGCACACAAGTAGACTACACTAAGATACTGTATACCAACTTTTATTCACGACGACTTTATTTCGCAATTTACTAGGGTAAACTAGTTTTCGACGATTAATTTTCGCGATCAAACCTTTTTTGGATCTGTTACTACCGGTAATAGGCACAGAGACTTTAGGGATCGGTTCGCGGCGAAAAATATTCGCGATGACGAGGATCTCGCGCATCTCTCGAAAATTTTTCGCACGCGAATAAAAGTTGGTTTACCATTCATAATTTACTGCATCGGTTTTTGATTTCGATGAACGGTGTTGCCATGTTTACTAAAAATAGTAATTTCTGTGAAATTCCTTTAAAACGCTGCGGTTTTGGTCTGATTGTAATATAACTTGGCACACAAGTAGACAACACTAAGATACAAAATTTAGTGCATCGTTTCTTTTTTTATTTGGATGAACGATGTTGCCATGGTTACTAAATAGAAGTTTCTGTGAAATTCCTTTAAAACACTACTCCTCCAACAGTTTTGGTCTAATTTCAATATAACTTGGTACACAAGTAGACTACACTTAGAAGCATATTCTATTTATTGCTGCCTGTTGTAAAGTTTCAAATCCACGTGCTACTTTTCCTTTGTTATACGTACAGACCAGTAGAGCTACAGTCTCATCAGAGACTTCTGGTTTTTTATTATTATTGTTGAAATTTGAAACATGGGTCTATTATAAGAAGAACAACACATTGTCCATTCAGTAATGCTTTCTACGAATGTTTATTATAGACCCTGTTCAAGCAGTGAATCGGGCAATGTCGAAGACCGGTGACAGTAACATTTTAAGTAAGTGTTAAATGATAAATTGTCTTATTATAATGCATAAAAAAAATAACATCTCATTTGTTAACACTTTGCTGGAAACTGGAGTAGAACAAAATTTCTGAAATTAATGTACCAAGTGCAATGATTAATTCTTATGCTTAAATAATAAATATATTCGTTTCATGACTTTATTTATCTTAAAGATCTACATAATGCATTGTAATTAATGAGTAAAATTTGTTCTCACACAGGTTTCCGTAGAATTTGAAATGAAGTTTATAGTATAATTCATGATTTCTAAAGAAAAAAAAACAAACCCACACCTGTCACATTGCACAATCGGTTTTGTTCACATTAATTATAATTTAATTAAATAACTAGAATAGTGCGAAAAACACTAATTGATAATTTAAACCTACTTGCAAAGGTAATCAAACAAACATTTTAGATATTAAAAGAAGGGAAGTAGAAACTTCAAGAGTACTGTGCGACAATATATTTGAGAAGTGGTGTAAATCAGATTTGGATACTTAAAAATTCCAAGGAACTTTTGGAAAATTTAAAATCACAAGATTTTTACCAAAATCAACAGCTTAAAATCTTACGAATTTTCAACTTTATGCAAAACCATTCCCCACGAAAAATTAAAGTCCAGACTTTTTTAAAAATATCATTGACAGCTGTTTTTCAGTAAAAATGGAACTCGTAAATTTATTTACTTTTTCATTAGACATTTGCAAAATTATTTTGTTAAAAACATTCTGATTGTACACACAAATACATGTACACTAAAGTTGACATCGAAAAGATTCTTGAGATTTTGATTGACACTATGTATGTTGTTTTTGGAGACCAGGTCTTCAAACAATCTATTGGAATTCCCATGGGCACCTATTGCGCCCTGTTTTGAGCAGAACTATTTTTGTATTTATATGAAGCACAATTTGTCAAAAATCGTATACGTGAAAAGAAGCAACATTTTCTGTGGCCTTTAGCTCAACATTTAAAAATATCGATGACGTATTGTCAATTAACAGTGGTTATTTCCATTCTAAAGTCGATACGATATATTCTGTTGAGCTTTAGATAAAACATAACACATAGTCTGACAAATCTGTTTCATATTTGGATATTTTACTTGAAAAAGACGTTAATGGATATCTAACAACAAACCTCGATATATCTTCATCACCTGCATTCGAATTTATATCTCTCAGTTGATTCGATACACAAGAGCATGCTTTACATATGTACAATTTCTAAAACGAGGAAAATTATTGCCAAATAATTTGATGAAACAAGAATATCAGCAGTTTCGTTTAGTTATAATTTCGTAAGTTCTATGGTCGATTTAATGACCTTGTCAGCAAATGCAACTTATCATTGAGTCAAATGCCGACTGACGTTTTTTAATACTAATTGTTGGTGCATTATTTACACGGTTATTTCCCGATCACGACAAAGAAAACACAGCGGGTGTCACTGGTTGGCAAGGGATGCTCACTCCTCCATGGCACATTATCCCACCTCTGACGGTTTGGAGGTCCATGTTTGCTCTACTCCTATTTTGCATTGTATTATTCGCGGGTTCGATTCCCACTGTTGGACTTGGAGACCGGTCTTTCGGATGAGACCTTTTAAACAGAGGTCCCGCATCGCAGTAGGTATTGGTACGAAAGATTCCTCGCTGCTCTTTGGCCATGAGTGCCGTATAAGGCAAAATTTTCAGTTGTCCACAGGCAAATTGTTGCTTCTCCTTTTGAGTGAAAAATTCTGGAGGTGCAATTTAAACAACAGACAAACAAGCAAACAGAAACGATTTATTCTCCTTCATGTCGATATGGCATCGACAGCAACATTTACGATATATTAACCAGTATTGTTAGAACAGTTGTTGAAATATAAGTTTCTGAAGATGGCCAGTTCCGTGAAATACACACCTTAAAAAGCAATTGAATTCATGTAATTATATGCTTTTAAAAAAAATCTGTGAAATTACTTTTTATTAACTGCTTTTTTTTTCAGACACCAGAGCTAAACAACTATCACCCCAACCCAGCGTCTTTGGTATGATAAATGCATCCAGTTTTTAGCCATATATTTTTAAAAAGAAGTATCTTAATTTTATATCTGTTTAAATAATAATTTTTAAATGAACAAGGTGTGTTTGTGAAACACTGATGCCCCATATGGCAACATATCAAAGATTAAACTTTTTCTTCAATGCAAATTTATATATTGGTACCAAAGTAGGATATTCTCACTGCAAATACAGTTGTGTAAAATGAAAGTGGGCCAAGGTTAAAGTTTTTTTTTCATAAGTACGGAAATCTTTAAGGTCATCTAATGAAAGGTCTTGCCACAAAAAATACATTTGTAAAGTATGGAAGCCCCAGCCCTAACCGTTTATAAGTTATTGCCAAGGTTAAAAAAATTTTAAAAGTAGGTCAGACTCCAAGGTCAAGGTCAAAGGTCTTGCTATCTTATAAAAGGTCTTGTCACAAGGATTAAATATGTGAAGTATGAAAGCACTAGCCCAAACCCTTTAAAAGTAAAAGTCAAAGTTTGCCTTTTAAAAGTAGGCCAAGGTCAAGGTCAAAGGGTCAGAGTTCTTGGTATCTAATAAAGGTCTTCTCACAAGTATTACATTTGTGAAGTATGAGATCACTAGCCCTTAGTGTTCAAAAGTTATGGCCAAGGTTAAAGTTTTTTCATGAATACAAAAATCTCCAAGGTCAAGGTCAAAAGGTCAAGATAATTGGTATTTAATGAAATGTCTTACCACATAGAATACTTATGTAAAGTATGGAAGCTCTAGCCTTAACCGTTCAGAAGTTATGGCCAAGGTTAAGAAATTTTGAAAGTAGGTAAAACTCCGAGGTCAAAGGGTAAAAGTTCTTGCTATCAAATGAAAGGTCTTGTCACAAGAATTATATATTTGAAGTATGAATGCCCTAGCCCTCTCCCTTAAAAAAATATGGTCAAGTTTATTTTTTAAAAGTAGGTTAAACTCCAAGTTCAAGGTCAAAGGGTTAAAATTCTTGGTATCCAATGAGTAGTCTTTTCACAAGGATTACATAAGTGAAATATGAGGGCCCTATCCCTTACCGTTCGAAAGTTATGGCCAAGGTTAAAGTTTTTTCACAAGGACGGCATTCTCCAAGGACAAGATCAAAATGTCAAGGTTGTTGGTATCCATCCAATGAAAGGTCTTTCCACCAAAAATACATTTGTTTAAAAAATATGGCCAAAGTAAAAGTTCAAAATTTTTGTGTAAAAGTGGGTCAAACGCCAAGGTAAAAAGGTCAGATTTGGTGGTCTTGTCACAAGAAATACACATGTGAAAATTGAAAGTCATAGCTCCGCTAAATGAAAAGTTATGGGCAAGGTTTAAATTTTTGCGGACAAACAGACGATCAGAGAGACAGACAGAGAGACTGAGAGAGACTGCTGGACAGACGGCAAAAATTATATAACCCCGAAACGTGGTATAAAAACAATTGAAAGTCGAAAGATCAATTTTTAATTTCTTCTCTTCGTAAGTAGTTTTACAATTTAAATATTTTTAAAAGGCATGACTGAGGAAGATATTAAAATTAACCCACCTATTCATTCTTAAATGTTACTTGAGTGTTGTTTACAAGTTAAGAACTAATATTTACCCTGGATTTAAACTTTGCTTTTGTCTACAGATCCGATGCAGTCTGTGCAATTAGCGATGTCTCAAACAATGCGTAACATGGATTCCATGAGTAAGTTTTTCGTATATCTAAAAATTCTTAATCATAAGGAAGCTTTTCAAATTTTATTGTCATCTCCCTCGGGAGATGACACATTAAGATTGTATGCCGGAAGTGAAGTCCTAGTGTAAGCCTCCATTAATCTTTCGGGAGTCCTCGATGTTTTACAGAGTTCCAAGTAGCCTGTAAACTGGTTTTCTTTTAGAAGAACTAGCTTAGGAGTGTGTGATCTACTTTCGGTTTAGGCCTATTTGAAAGCCAAGGAAAATTTAGAAAAGAAGTACGATTTATAAATATCTATAGTTTCGGTGTGTCGTATATATATTTCCTCAATACTATGCCTTATTAAATTGGTAAGCCACACAAGGAGAATTGACAATGACGTGATTTCTATATATAAATTTGTTGACGCGAAGGGAAAACTGGTTCTCGCACAAAAGTAGATTCTGCAAAAAATTAACGAAGAGTGGTCAACACTAATTTTATGTTAATTTTTTAGTCTGTAATTGGACTTATTAAGTTAATTCCTGTCAAACTTTAATGATAAGCTCCTTTTAAATGAATGATGATTATTGTTGATAATTCCGTATTGAGTTAAGAAAATATAGTTCAAGCAAAGTATTATAATTTAAGTAAATTGTAAACACCCAGAAGCACAAAGACCGCTAGAAAGTAGAATGAAATTTCACTAAAAATCGCCTTGGGTGCTCTCGCCGACGTCCATGCTTTTCATATATATACTGCGGCCAAAAGAAACTGCCTACTTTACTGTGGAGTTTGCTGAATATAAGTCATTTGGGAACTTCAAGTGTAATAATCCATATATTCATTGCATTCAAATATTTCCCTTTCTGTTTTATTTCTTTGACATTATTGATACCAAAGAGATGACATTTCAGGCTTTCTGGAAAGCCAAACTTGTTTTTTCTTTCTCATTGTTGTTCATATGAAAGAAGAAATTTATATAGCTGTACGTTAAGAGCATGATAAATATTAACAAAATGATGTGTTTTACTGTTTTTTTTAAACATTCTCATGATTAAAAAATAATTTTAATCTCAAATTAGTGAACAACAGACATACAGCATCAGAACCACGAAATTTCGGTAGGTAAAAAAAGTTCTGTGAAAAGAGATCAATATGTGTGGTGAATCAATTTGAACAATTAATACCAATTGATTGATCGCTTGAAGATATTAAGAGAATGTTATTTAAGACATTGTATGAGTTGATTGTCTAATATAAATGTTTTTTTAATTCATCAAAGATCAAAGGCATTCTATACAGCATACGTTTTCACAAACATCTTCCAATGTTGATCGAAGTAAGTAATTGTGTGAGTAGATATGATTGATTTATTAAAAATGTACTTAAGCAATGATATAGAATCAATTATTTTTAATTTCAAAGTGTAGATTCTAAGTTTAAGCGGATCTGTTTTGTATTCACATTCAAGAACTTCTTCATGTTTAGAAAAAAAACTTCAACTTTACTACCGCCAGGTTCCTTTATTTATGTAGCAATATATCCTCATCACTTGCATATGTAGATTAATGTACATGTGTACATAGTTTGGCGTATTCAAAATTTAGCGTATACACTGGGTATGGAGTTGTTGGCGTAATTCTAAATTTAATATTTAGCGCTACCGGTATTCATGAATTAGCGCATTATTGTCTCTGCCAAAGCCGCTAAAATATGAAGCCCACTTTTTAAAGTACACATACAGTAAATCACCACTAAACCATGTTTTTCCTATTAGATAGCTTACTTTTTAATTTTTAGGTCACCTGAGTAAACTCAGGTGACCTATTGCTATCCGTTTTCGTCCGTCATCGTTCGTCGTGCGTCGTGCGTTAACATTTGTACATTTTCAGCTTCTTCTCTGAAACCACTGAACCAATTTCAAACAATTTTGGCATACAGCATCTGTTGGCCAAGGGAAACAAAAATGGTGAATTTCATGGTCCTTGCCCCCCTGGGGCCTGGGGGTGGGGCCAAAACCACTAAAATTAGTGCACTCTTTAAAAATCTTCTTTACTCCTGGACATCAAGCAGTCAAACTTTTGGTATGATAGTAATCAGCATTGAGTCCTTTACCAAAATTGTGAAATTCATGGCCCCAGGGTCAGGGGTACTAGTACTAGGGCAGGGCTAAATAGGTTATATAGTGAAAATGCATTATTTCTTTGAAATTCTTGTTTTCTGCACCTGAGCATTAAATAAACTAGCCAAGTGCATAGTTGAGTTGAAAATTACTGCCTCTTCCAAAATTGTGAATTTCATGGCCCCAGGGTCAGGGGTTCTAGTGCTAGGACGGGGCTATATAGATTACATAATGAAAATGCATTAATTCTTTGAAAATCATCTTCTCTGCTCCTGAGTATTAAATAAACTAACCAAGGGCATCGTTATGTTGAATAAGGCTGTATCTTCCAAAATTCTGAATTTCATGGCCCCAGGGTAGGGTTTCGAGTGCTAGGGCGGGGCTATATAGATTTATAGTGAAAATGCATAAATTCTTTTAAATTCTTTTTTTCTGTTCGTGGGCATGAAATAAACTTAGTCTAACCAAGTGCATAGTTATGGTGAATAAGGCTGTCTCTTCCAAAATTGTGAATTTCATGCTCTCTGGGTTGGGGGTTCTGGTGTTAGGGTGGGGCTCTATTGATTATATAGTGAAAATGCATAAATTCTTTAAAAATCTTCTTTTCTGCACCTGGGTATTAAACCAATGAACTATGTACATAGTTATGAGGAGGAAGGATGCCTCTTTGAGATTTGTGAATATCAGGGCCATGGGTCTGGACTTCTTGTATTAGGGCGGGGCTCTAATGTTTATATAGTGAAAATGCATGAATTTCATTGAAAACCTTTTCCTTTGCTCCTGGGTATTATGCCTATGATCTTATTAATATTTATGACGAAGTAAGCTGCTTCTACCAAAATAGTTAATTTCCGGGCCCCTGGGTTAGAGGTACTTGGGGGGGGGTGCATAGACTGAAAATAATCTAATGTTTTGAAATCTGCACTTTGATATTAATCAACAACGTGAAGAAATAAAATTTATAAAATTTTCAAAGTTTTGAAAGATGTGGCCCCAGGGTCAGTGGTTCCTGTGGGATGAGTGCACAACTGATAAAGTGGAAATGCATTTTCTCTTTGTTACTCTGATCTACACTTTGTATTAAGTAACCGAAGTAAGCATGCTAAGTGTATAATCATGATAAGCAATGGTGCCTCTTTTAAAATTGTGAATTTCATTGCCTTTGGTTTAAAACACGAATCAAATTCAATTGTTGGAAAGTTGTAAGATGATACTCAGGTGACCTATAAGGCCCATGGGCCTCTTGTTTGTGAGATACATGTACTTGCAGTATCGTTTCTCCATTGTCATCTATTTTATTTCAGGGAAAACCGATAAATTATTTTCCCATCCTGATGTTGCAAGTAAGTGAGAACTATTACAATTATTATTTTTTTTGTAATCAAAACAAAAAGTCAATGCAAGTATTATTATTAATTGACATTTAAATCTTTCCAATACACTTATTTTGTTGGTATTTAGTTTTAATTTTGTTCCCTTTTAAACCATTTAGGTGTTGCCAATGTGGGTCGGACAGAAACGTCTCATGGTAATTAGTGGTTATGTACTATAATCATTTTCTTTTTAAGTCTTAATAAGCACATTATTTTAAAAACGCATTTTCCTTCTTTTTTCTAGGTTCAAGTGCCATATCTACGTTTGATAACCAATTTCCTAATTTGCGAGGAGGTATAATTTTGAGCTAAATTAAATTACTAGAATCTAAATGATATATTGTTTTGAAGAATGAGGTTAGAGGAAATGGATATTTTTATTCAGAAATGGATATTTTTATTCAGCGGCTCAGCTCAACGACTTTGTCTCAGATATATGATTTAATGTAAACAACTACTTAAAGGATGTCGCTTTATGATTTGCATATATATCCATTGTCTAGATTTAATTCTGCTTTTGTACAATTTTTATAAAAATATTATGCTTGAAAACTCGTATTCCAAATTATTTTCAAGAAAATTGGGTAAAGCAAAGGAGATTTACACTGTGCCGAACACTATAAAAATTCATTTCCGTTTTAGGGTCATTTAGATCTCCAATGACCTCGGGTCCAGGTACGTTACATAATTTGTGTCTTCCTCTTTTTTACATTCACAACAAAAACAGTGGGTTTTTTTGCTGAATATTCTTTTTTTTCTCCTATTTTAGCTAGAAGATTTCAAACTCAAACGGTAGCAACCCCATCACCAAGAGGTAACCCTTTTTTCCATTTTAAAAGTGATTACTTCCATACATTGGAATTAAAACATCTAGAATATAAATTTTATCGGACTATCACAGCACTGAACAAATGTCAAAGTACATGTACGTTAGAGTAAAATTTTTATATATTAAAACTATGTTTTAATATGTTTAATAAAATAGAAGGTTAATGCAAGTATTTCTTTTAAAAACAATTTGTATTTGTGAAACACTGATGCCCCCGTATGGCAACATAGCAAAGATTAAACTTTTTTTAAATGCTTTAATATTTTGTAATTAAAAGTAGGGTATTCTCACTGGAAATACAATTGTGAAATATGAAAGTAGGCCAAGGTTAAAGTTTTTTCATAAGTATGGAAATCTTCAAGAAAATTTGTCTTTCAGATAGTTCCTTCTTCATTCTGCTAGTAGAAAAAACTTGCGATTTCTTTAAATCTTCTCTCATATTTTTATAATTAAACAAAATTGTCAAAAATCACGTTTCAAGAATAAATTTACATCCATTTATCTCTTAAGAAACTCATTACCGGTTATCAGTCAGTAAACAGCAATAAGCATATTACCTCTACAGAGTTTCTGAGCAGTGACTGTCCCATCAATGATATACATAATGACTATATATCAATGTAGCAATATTCAATCTATTAATATCTATTTCAATAATTAATTTGTCTGTATATAAATAATACAATGGTTTTTTTTGTCAGTAAGTTGCAGCCATTGCAAAAAAAATCTAACTATTCAAAAGCATTAAATTTTTTTTTTGAAATCTTTATCCTTTTAAATCTTTTCAAAACCATGAAATTAAGGTTTGTTTATTTCTTCCAGCTTCAAGTGCCATTTCTACATTTCATCCACAATTTCCCAGAACAGGAACAGGTGAGAATGTGAAAATTCTTTTTAAATGAAATGAGGTTAAGATGATTAAAAATCTTCCAAAACTGAAATAAGAGGCCCATGGGAATTATAGGTCATCTAAGCATCATGTAACAACTTTCAAACTATTGAAGTTGAATCATGTTTCAAACCAGAGGCCATGACATTCACAATTTTAATTAATTAATTTTTATCATAACTAAACACTTAGCGTGCTTATTTCAATACTTAACACCCATTGTAAGAGTAGGTGAACAAAAAATATACTTCAACTACTCCGGTTAAACAGAGGTCCCGTGTCGCAGTAGGTGCAAGAAAAAGATCCGTCACTCCTCAATGGCCATGAGCGCCAAGCATAGGATAAAATTTGCAGCTCTCACTGACAAATGGTGACGTCTCCATATGAGTGAAAAATTCTCGAGATGGGCGTTAAAAACAATCAATCAATCAATGTACATTTAATCCAGAAGTTTCAAGGAAGATGGGGTTGTAAAAAAAAAGTTTGAATTTGTTTAATTAGATCAACTAAAATAATTAAAAGCTTTAAAATGGACATAAAAACAAAGTGCTGGTTCATTTAAAAAGTAATGCGCTGTGTTGCATCAATCCTTTCAGAAATACTTGGAACGATTAAACTTGGAAAATCATGCGAGTTTACCATTTCATTAAGGGATATATCTAACGCGTAAGAGTGTAAATAATTTGTCGGAGATAAATGGTGTATAAGTGTAAATCTCCATATACCATTCTTTCACACAGTTATAATTGATTTTAATGACAATTTAACAATACATATATGTGTTAAATATTTTAATTCATTGTTGTATATCATGCATTGTTCTTATTTATTAATGATTATGTATTTTACATCTTTTCAAGTCCAAACAACGCCAACTCCACTCTTAAAACGTAAGTGATTTTAATTATAATCTTTTATTTTTTATTTGGATTAAAACTCGGCTTAGAATATAGCTCAATACAGAATATTAGAACATCAAAGTTAAATTTTACATTTTTGATGAATTTATTGTTCACTTGTAATTCATATTCTTTAATTCTTTAATCAATTTTTAAATAGAAAAAAAATACAAAACAATTTTAAATACTTTGCTAGTCTAGATTAGATTTAAATTTCTTTTTTTTTTAAGTTGTAGCGAAGACAGTGACAGAAATACGAAATGAGTCGGGAACAACTGGACCAAAACCTATGTGTATATATATAGACGATCCAGTCTATAATACCCTTTGTCTCATGAAAACGGAAGGTGGGTTCAATTTTGTAATATGTTATAAAATACCTGAAAATTACAACAACAAAATCATTTCCGACATTTCAGTAATTTGAATTAGACATGTCGGTTCGTTTGAAGTCGGAATTAAAAGCCATAATGCCAGAGAAAAAAAATTAATTCTATTTCTACAAATCCATATCATCTAGTGCTATTTCTAAAAAAATATTGGAATAAGCTTTATTTATTTTCCATTTCCCGTTTACTTCAGATCAACTGATTATGTTAGTTATATGCTCATAAGCTAGATACATGTTTTAATTAATTTTTTTTTTCAATTTGCCCATGCATTTTATATTTTTTTTCGGTGTCAGTCAAAAGTAATGAATGCAGAAACAAAAAGTTCAATGTAAATGTATTTTACCTAAATTGATAATCTATCTATCTATCTCTCATGAAACTATGCTAATTTTAATCTGAAGTTGAAATAACGTGGACAGTATAAAAATATGAAAAAAATAATGAACGGGCTCAAAACTTTCTTAAACCTAATGGAAACAATTATTTTCAATTTTAGGTATTGCGAAAAAAAATAAACTTTGAAAATTCATTATTGGTGTTAAAATTTTCTATGAAAAAAAAGTTCCCACCCACTTACCTTATTGACCTTTCTAAAAAAAATCATTCTTAGTCGAAAAAAGATTTTAAAAAAATATTTTATTTTTTGCCAAAAAAACATTACACGCTTTCTGTAAGTTGTGTGCAGCTTTTAAAATGAAATTACCATCTTATAACTTGCACATCAAAACTTCCAAAACTTAGAAGGAAAAAGATTCTCATAATATAATCAGCTTTATTACTTTTCTTTGAAATTCCGATAAATATAACAATTTTTTTTAAAGCTATAATTATATTACTATGCTAGACAAACACATTATATTTTCTTTGTAGGATTTACGAAGAAAAATACATTGGAGGGGGTTACACAAATACAGAGAAAAAAGGAAACAGGTAAAGAGACATTTAAGGCAGCCGCTAATCTGGTGTCCGTTATCGCCAAAGGAATGTGTGCTTTCTGCTGCCATGCTGATCTGCGAAGTCAAGAGAAATGTTTTAAAAGATTTTGTGAAAACAAAACCAGCTGTTGATAAAACATTGAAACAAAATTTGCCTTTAAAAGCATTTAATATTTCGTAAAAGTTAGTAATTTTTAAAATATAAAGGCAAATATTTATTTAACATTATGTTATTTATAAAAGTGTTTTCATGAAAGGTCTTCATGGAAAAAATATAGGTATATTAATATCTTATTGCAAATGTATTTCATTTTACACTTATTATGGATATCGATGTTATAAACTTCTGTTACATATTAAAACTCTTCGTTTTATTTGATTATTTTTCGACGTCCAGTCATCCCCCAGAGCCACACAGTCATATATATTTAAGGTTAGGGAATATACAACAAACAATAATTTCCCGGATGGCAAGTGCAGTATGTGAAATCGGATATAAAAACCTCCTTAATATATCCACGTCGTGAATTCGACTAATATGGGTTTTTTTCATTTTACTTTATATGCCTTGTAAATTTTTATACTTTAAACTACAATATATAAATACGACACTATTGTTCTAAAGTCGCAATATAACTTTGCAAAATGATCACGTTTAAGAACGGTGTATGTCAAGTCCAGAAAACAGGCAGACTTCAAAATGCCAATAAAGGAATTGACGATTAATATAAGTAATATTCTTAATCACAAAAGGGTATAGTCTTGTACTATTCCACCATATTTTAGTTAAAGAGTACACATTGTATTTCCTACAAATATGCATCGACTATTGCTTCCAAACTTTTCAATTACAAAACACTTTACATGGCCTCGATATCGAGTGTCTGAAACATAATCCTCCATCGTATTCATGTGTTTCACCCTATAACAATAGTCCTGTTGAACATATCATTAAAGGTGACGTACATAATATAATCAGGACCTTAGATCACTTGTTTTTAACGGTCCTAAATATAAGGAACCCCGATATTCAACTGGCGTCGGAATTCCATAAACATTATAGATTCTGTTGAAGATTACACCAGAAGATGGACCAGATATGAAAAAGAAGACGTTGACACTTTGCCAGGATGGATTAAATGTATCAGATCCATGTTAAAATCGCGTATTTATAGATTGAGGGGCAGTATGAAAACCATCTATCCTTCTGTATTCAATATGTAATTCAGAAGTGAAAAAAGAATTAGATAGATTACATGGTCAGTATGCATTGGTCCCTGCTGTCAAAGCAGGTATCACCATTTTCTTCATTTGTAAGGCTCATTATATAAATTGGGTTTTAGAAGAACTTGGAATTAATTCTACAAGTGGTAATCTATCTTATATTTATAGTTCCCTTTTTAAGGAAGAAATTCTTCAAAATCGTCTGTCAGTTTTGAATATTTAATATCCCAAAGAACCAAAATGAATCTGAGCTACCGTATATACGAGGGGCCATCAAAAAGTTCGTGGACTAGCGCCATAAAATTAAAACCGCTTAAGGTACATGAATGTATTTTAAAATATCTAGTTATCATAATCTTTTATATTTATAGAATAAATCACAATTCATAAATTATATTTATAATAAAGATCTTTGTGATGTTTTTTAAGCAATGGTATGTCCACGCGGCGCAACATCGAAACATCGATTCCTTGTTTTTTTAATGCCGAAATAGATTCAGGGAGAAAAGGATGCACAGTTAATGTCGATTTGTAGTCAAGAGTTACATGTAAAAAAAATCAATCACGTCAAATATTTGAGTTGATCATGTTTTGTAGCCATATTGAACTCCAAAAAAAAAAAAAAACACCAAAATATGCTGGCACAATCAACCGAGGATCTCTTACAATGTATAAATCCATTTGCAATAATATATGCATTGAAAGCCGCTGTATATGACATTGTAAAGTCATATAAACAAAAATTTCAGCAGTCTCGTTTAAAGTCATAATTTCGTAAGTTCTATAGTCGATACCATGACCTTGACAGCAAATACAATTTATCAGTAAGTCAGATGCTGACTGACGTTTTTCATACTTATCATTATTATTATGTACATGTACACACTGAATTGACGAAGGATTTTTCCGTTATTTCCCGATCATCACAAGTAGCACACAGCGGATGTGACCTGTCAGCAGAGGATGCTCACTCCTACATGGCACCTCATCCCAACTCTGATATATTTGAGGTCCGTGTTTGCTTTGCTTCTATGTTGTATTGTTTTATGGACTTTGATCTTAAAAACTGTTCGTTATCTATTTATGTTTGCTGAGTTAAAAAATATAAGCAATGAGTCATTATTTATTGAAAGATATTGTCTCATAACTGCAACGGTGTGTGCAAACAAATTTTCAAAACGCGTTAAGGCACATTATTCAATTTGATTTCACACACCGTTGCAGTTATGAGGTTATATCTTTCAAAAAATTATAATACATTGCTTATTTATGAAAAGTAAAAAAAAAAAAAAAAAAAAAAAAAAAAAAAAACACATTAGCGTCTGCGCGATTTTTCTGCTGGCTTTTTTTATTACATTTTACGAGGGGCGTACAATATTTTTTGTCTCTTATGGTTTTCAATATAAATTAGATCACTCGATTCGGGATCTGGTCATCCATGAATGAATATATCTTTTATTGACATTATGCCAAAATTTGGAACAAGTCCATGCACTCTGAAACACACACTTACATTTGCAACTGACCAACCCGAATACACTGGAACATCAATTACATGTATTTGTAAAACACGAAGTCTGGAGTCACTTGAAATTAGAAAGTTAATTCTTGCCCGTTATGTCATTGGTATAGAACAGAATGAAATATATGAAGAAACTGTTTGGTTATACAGTGGGTCCGTTAAGAATGGTAAAACTCATTTCATTCAAGAAGACCACCAAGAGCAGTCACCAAATATAAATAATATTTCCAAAATTCGTGATAGTCTTACGACAAATGCACGACTTACCGTCAAAGAAATAGCAAGACGTGTAGGAATTTAAACGGGCAGTGTTTTTACTATTTTATAACCTAAACAAGCTAATTCAGAGAATTTGTGTCCCCCGCTTAGGGAAAAAGTAAACCATGCGCAGTTCGGGGGGAAGGGGGGGGGGGCGGGTCCCCTTGGTTAAATTTGTAGAATTATTAAATGTATACATGTATACTGAAGCAAATAAAATATGCCAATATGGATATAAAGATTTGATTGCTTATTCTTTATTATGTGTATAGAAGATTCTTTTTATATGGAATATTTATTACACTGTAATGATGATTTTATGAGTTTGTACAAGCCAAACGTCATAAAATTTTCATTTCACATGCTGAATACTTCAATTTAGTTTAAAAAAAAGGATTTCGAAAAAAAAAAATAAATTGGATCGTCCGGCATGCGAACCCGGGCCCTCTCACATGTGAAGCAAGAGACATACCACTAGACCAGGGAACTGTTTTACACTGGAACAAATTATATGCAAAGATGAAGTCACATACATATATTCACGTTCGATATTGTCAAAATTTTACACAATGAATGGTGTCTAATTTAATCTTTATTAAACGGTTCTAATAGATGTAATAAGAATATAAAGTCCGCCGAGAACCTGTTTTATACGTAATAACTCTCCTAATGCCCCAGTGCTAAAAATAGTGACATGTAATACAATAAATACTAATAAAACAAACGGGGCGGGACACTTTGAGAGGGGTAAGAGAGGTCCTAGGGAGTTTTGGTATAAGATTACATTGCAAAAGCTCAAAATCTTCTTGAAATATCGCCCGGAAAGGATAGTGTTTCATACAGACAGAATGTATACATTTACGACCTTGAACTTTGACCTTTTGACCTCAAAATCAATAGGGGTCTTCCTTAAGCCACAGGGAGTTGTTATTTAAAATTTCATTGCAAAAGCTGAAAGGGTTCTCGAGATATCGCGCGGAAACGAAAGTGTTATAAGAGACAGAATTCGCAAATTTATGACGTTGACCTTTGGCCTTTTGACCTCAAAATCACTAGGCTTCTTTTTTAGTCCATAGGGAGTTGCTATGCAAAAATTCATTGCAAAAACTCAAAGGGTTCTTGAGATATTGTGTGGAAATGAAAGCGTTACAGACGGACAGACCCAAATTAAAATCCCCCACTTTTCAAGCGGGGGACAATTAAAGTTATGTAACATTTGTGCAAGGTGGATTCCACATATTTTTACCAAAGATCAGAGGAGGGATCGTTTATAAAAGTGCCAAAAATTTTTTAAAATGTTTGAAAATATGGACTCTAGGAAGCAATGCCAGAGATGAGGAAACATGAATCCATTTTTTAATCCAGCCAGAAAGAAAAGTAAAAAATCAAGTTTGGATTGGAAAGAATATGAAGAGTCCAACAATTGCAAAAAGAACTTGAAAACTTCTAAGAAAGCTCTATACGCAATATTTTTCAACTTAAATGGCTTGGTAGTCCAATATGTAGTCCCACAGGGCAGAAATGTCACTGGAAATACGTATTCTTCAAGTATACTTCCGAGACTTAATAATTTATACAAAAAAGACGACCTAATACCAGTTTGAGAGGCATTAAACTTCTGCATGACAATGCTACTGCTTATAAAACAAAGGTTACTCGAGACTATTTACAGCTACACAAAGTTATAGAACTTCCACACCCTGCATATTCACCTGGTCCTTCTCCTTGTGACCTTTTCTTGTTTCCAAAACTAAAAGAAGCTCTCTCTCTCTCTCTCTCTCTCTGGAAGGCGTTTTTAATCATGGTCAGCGCTGGGATCAGCTGTGTTTCAGAATTTAAGGGGTATACCAAAGAAAACTTGCAAAAAGTATTTTTGACTGGATTAAACGACTTCATCTCTGTATTAAATATAAGGAAGGTTTCTTTGAGGGAATGCAATAAATACTTTAAATTTCTATTTTGTTTTTGTTGCTGTGATATGGTTATGAATTTCAAAAATCTCGTATACAGTAGACATTTCTTAAAATGTGTGTCGTACTTATATGACCTTGTTACATGTAGCAAATCTAAAATATCACTGGTTCGTATTTTGACTAATGTTGTTTCATACTGAATATTAAGCCTTTGTATACTATATTTAATTCAAAGGATCCGTGTTATGTCCTCTTCACAGATTTGAATTGTTTATAGATCTTTTGACATCGATCATTGTTTTACAACAAGAGCATAGTAACCATTCTGAAATAGACTTAAATAAATCCTCCAAATAGTTTTAATTCACCACAATTTTGACCCCACGTCAACTAGGTATGACAATGCGTTTCGAATAAGAGAGGGGCAAAACCTACAAAATGGAAAATTCAGTGAGTGGAGCAAGATTTTGAATTTATTTCAGCCAGGTAGAATTTTTTTTTTATTTTCATTCGTTTGCTAGAAAATAAAATAATTTTGTCCAACTCATACATGTATTATAAAATCCATTTTGCTATCAAACCACAAAAAACCTGAATATTATCTACTATCTATATCATTACGTATGTATAAGATATTAATTAAAAGTTATTGTATTGAATATACTTTTTGTTTCAGATTATATTTGAATTTTCAATCACGAAACGTCTAAACAATAAAACAAATATTAGATTTTTAAAAATGTGATATTCCATTCATGAGAAAACGAACTTCATTATTGGGAGCTTTCACGCCCTGTAATAGCGTTTAAAAGTATTTAATCATAAAAAGAATCGTAGAATGCTTGTTTAGACCTTTTATAAATTCATTCATTAAAAAATCGTATTTCTTGTCAAATAATGCCCCACAAGGCGAAACTGATTAATTTATTAAATTTCTTTAAAAAACATAATCATTTTATCAGAGAAAAATTATTTAAGTGAATGGGGTTGGGTTGATGTTGAGGTGGGTGGGAGGGTGTGAATCTTACATACTTTACTTGCGACATTTCATTGATATACTTATTACAACAGTTTGTATTTAAAATATGAAGGTTGTTCTAAGAAAGAAGTATTTTTTTTTACTAGTTAATAAGATTGTTTCAAAAACGTCATGAAAAAATATTTCAATGTAAGAACAATATACTTTATTAGTTCATAGGCCCTGTATGATATTGCGTACAAGTGATGAAAAATCAAAATTGTATTTTCTTTATATATCTTCACTTTTTGTTACATTTGTTTTCATTTTGGATAAGTTTTATGATTAAGTGTTTTACATGTATGTTAACATTGATGTTCATTATTTAAGTTTAGAAAGCGCATTGTGTGAGTTTGTGTAATTGTTGGAGTGAGAGGGTGAAATTGTTTGGTATATGTTTATATACATATAGAGATATGAAAAAAGCTTCAAAATAAAGCATTGAAAACGTCATTATAGTATTAAATATTATTTGTACTCTGGGGCAAATTGGTTGTCGTACATGATTTCATCATCTTGAAACTCATTCACTGAGAATCCTCCATAGCTGTACATGCTGAAATAGACAATATGTGTATGGATCACGTCTAATATTTTATGAACTGTATTTGATTTTTTTCTCTTTGAATTCTACCTTTTCAGCTTTACCTTGCACATTGTCTACGTTCTAGTTCAATTTGCTTTTCACGATCTGTTAATCTTTGGGCTTCTGTAGAAGCTACCAAGATAAAAAAAAATTATAGTTACAGGACATCAATAAAACTAATATTTGTCTTCCACTAAAATCTTTATATTGTAAAGAATTTGTCTTCCACTAAAATTTTAATATTGTTAAGAACTGTAAAAGTATGGACAAAATAAAAACTAAGAACTCAATTGTATTACAAGTAGGTGTACATGTGTATGTATAAATATATAACCTTTTCCGTTATTGTTATTGCCAAACGAAAACGGTCTCGCGTAAATTCGTTCATCGGAAGATGGGACCGTCGTCAAATTCTCTGCTTCTCCTTGTTGGTTACTTAAAAAGAATACGTAAGTTTATTATCTAAAACAAGCTTATCCTGTTTTAACCTTTCCTAGAATGCTTTCAACATAACCTTTCACAGAAGTATAATTTTGCAAGTTCTGATTATTATAATCAGTCAGTTTAAAAATAAGGGAAATAGTTGATTTGACTTTATATGAATAGCTTGCATTGTTCAATCACGGCATCAAAGATAATATATTGTGATAATGACTTCATTCTTGCATCATTTCAAATAATGCAATGCTTTCATTTACGAACTAGCATCACCAGAGGTGAAGAATTGTTTTAAGCTAAAGGGATAAATTATATGCACATACAGATTTCTTAATACATCTATTAAATATTTGCTTTTGTTAACGGCATATCAAAAAATCAAAATATTCCAAATACAGTAGTATAAAAAATACCCAGTTGTTTTCCCAAAATACAGGAGTATAAAAAATACCCAGTTGTTTTCCTAATCTGTATTTATAAAATCTAAATTTTCAAAATTTTTCAATATTCATTATAGCTAAATCAATGTCCCCCAACGCTTTCCATCTACTCACTGATTTCCGTTTAGTGTAATGTGTTTTTGCCTCTCTGAAAAAACAAAGATAGAATTAATAATATTAAAGTATAAAAAAAATTATGTTGATATTAATAAGCTGCCATTGACAAGTGTTGCTTTCAAGAAAACCCTTAACAGCAAACCTGAATATAACATACTGAAAGTTTATTTTAATCTATTAACTACATTAACCTCTCAAATTGCAATTAAAATGCATTTTAACAAAAATCAAAAATTGTTTGGTCTCGTTCGTCAACCAAGTTAAAAGTCAAAGCATCGGTTTTTAATCGACTTGACGGAAAAGCCCGTGTTTTGTTCTCTACCTGAGGCTCACGGAAATAACATGTGATTTTCCGGTTGTTCAATTGAAACAAAAACTGGAATCTATACACCGACTTTTGATTGTGAACTCTAAAACCCTGCATCTCTTTACCTTTTCCAGAATTAAAAAAAATGACTAAGAATTTCTTATGCTATTCGCTCTCCAACTTATTAAGTATATCTTTTTTCAGTAACTTAAAGGTATATACACGTATCTGATCTCGTTTGGATGTAACTGGTAGTTTACATTGTCATTATTGATATAGATGGCTACCTTCCTTGGACATTAAGATCTGGTGTTGTCATCCGTGAGATATAACCCTTTTGTTAAATGGGGGATAGCAAACTTGTAAATATGGTAGAAAACTAAATTCTACACCATTATTTCGTAATGCTCATTTTTAAGTTTTCCCCATTTCATGTGTCCAATTTACAATCATTTCATTTGTACTTTAGATTCCCCAAAAAGCTCCTGGTAGCATGATGTTCCTGGGCGATCTAGGCTTTATCTCATAATATTTACATTTGCAAATGTTTTCCTTTATATAACACTACTAAAGGCAAGCGTTTTTATAACTGTGTAAATACAGGTATGGGGTCAAGAGGTCATAGATGTGCGTTTTGGATAAACGTTCGACGTAATTTCTCTGTGACGTCATAAAGGGTCGACGCGCGTTTAGTGGATTACATACATGCCGTTGGGTTTGAAAAGATAACTCATTTCACACGTTAAAAGTAACAATCAGGCAAATATAAAGTATGAATAAGTCACAAATGTAAATATAAGTAATAAGGTATCATTTTTTGAGTTTTATTGAGATGTAAAACGGGTTGGCACATGATCAAATCTTCCATAAAGCCCTTCGGGCTTTATGGGATTTGATCACGTGACCAACCCGTTTTACATCTCAATAAAACTCAAAAAATGATACCTTATTTCTTAAATACCATAATCTTACTCATTTATTTGTTTATTTGTTTGTCTCGTAGAATGCATTTTAATTATTCCTTTCTTTGACTCTGATTTTCAATTTGATAATGCAGAGAGAGAGAGAGAGAGAGAGAGAGAGAGAGAGAGAGAGAGAGAGAGAGAGAGAGAGAGAGAGAAAAAAAGGCTATTTATGCTCACGTGATAAGCAGTATACTAAATCACCACCATTGATGGAATAGCTATCACACTGAACAGCAAACAATCTTATTTTTATGAATAATTTTAGTAATCATGTTTTCATAAACTTATTTGTAGAATTAAAATAGTTATAAATGTATACTACACTTACTTTTTCTTCTAATATCCCATATTATAACCGCCACTATGACAACTAAGATCAATGTAAGAACCCCTCCTCCAACTCCAGCCAAAAGAATTGTGTTCTCCCTCAGAAAATTAACTGTTGAAACAAAAGAAATATGTTAAATCTCATGAAATAAATTATATACTCGTTTAAAAGAAAATAAAATATACATGTAATGATTGTGAAAATAATAAAAACAAATGTTAAATTGATGATGGTCTTCTTAAGGTAAGTCACTCCTGAAATTTCTTATATCAAGGATTTTTTGAGAAGTATATTTTGGATAAGTACTCATAAAGTGTAACTCAAAATCGCAATGAAAATAGGGGGTCATTGTGCATCCTACTGATCTACGGTACACTTAAGTTGACCTTTTTGCACTTAAATTTCATCTCTTTGGTTAATTACTTTAACCCTTATTATATTTGATTAGATGTAAGCATGGCAATAAATATAATCTTATTTTACGTAAAATAGTTTGAATAATATTTATCATTAAACAAATCTTGCAAATTAATGCGCGTAAATTATTGAGTGACCTTTTTGCACTAAAAAATAACATATCTGGGGTATTGAAAAATTTAATAGGCAATAAAAATTTTTTTTATATCAAACTTTTTACGACTTGAGTGCTGATCAGTCACAAGTATCGAGTAGTTTAAAATAATGAAAGAAAAAGGTGGGGTCAGTGATGCTAATTTTGAAATATTTGTCAAAATATGTGATTTTCAGGCAAAAAATGGTGTAAATTTGACCTTGACTTCTTTAATATATTTTCATTTTTTGGAAAAGTTTGTTGAGGGAAGGTATAAAACTTAGTCTAAAAATATAAATTAAGACCTATATTAAATATTTTTAGCAATATCAAAACGGAAAATATTCTCCGAGTAAAAGTATGTGAGGCTAAATTTCCATTACATTAAATTTTATAAATGTGCAGATTTGCAGAATTTTCTGCTAAATATCCTTCCACCAAAAGAAATAGTCCCTCATAGATCTTGCTTCTTTGTAGATTTTTGAGCAGTTTTTTCATTGAATGTTAAAAAATTTACATTGTTGAATTCAGATATGTTATAAAAATTGAATTTTAATAAGTAGTTTTGAAGTAAAAGCTTCTGCGTGAACTTTTCCAAAAAGCTGACGAGTGACTTACCTTAATATCATTTGTACTACCGTAATAAATTAGTCTAAACAAGGAACTATACTACTATTTGTACTACTGTCAGTAATAAAGTAATTTGCACAAGAATTTAGTACTAGATTTCCACTGATTCTGCACAAAGATCTAGTGTTTGGAAAAAGGATACAATATTTGGCTCTTTTGATTGACGCTTAATACAAAATCCCTAAAACATTTATAAAAATTTTAAACCAGCCTTACTTACACATGTTACAGCAATGAAAACCGTAAGCAAAACAAATAGGGACCTCAAAAATCAGAAAATGTGGTGCCATTGTGAAGTAAGTATCCCTGTTGATCGATCGCACCCGCCACGTGCTCTTTGTTATGATTAAATAAAATGGACACTGTAGCATTCTTATTTTTTTAAATAAAAGATTTTAGTCAACATTTGACCTAAAGAGCGATTGTATTTGACCACAAAAA